CTGATTAATGAAATCAGTGATTCAGATTCAGAATCAATGTCAGAGGAGCAAGATTGAAAAACTGTTTGATATATACATTTGTTAATTGTTTTGTTTGTGTTCTTGATTCCTATATTAATATATAAACAACTATATGCATGTACATATATTTATCTACTATTGTTGTTGCTATTTTAAAGTTGTTGTTGGTATATAAAATGAAAAATTATGTCTATTGATAATAACAGAGTATATATATTTAATATAAAAAATATTATATTCGAGCTATTCTGATATTCTCACAAAAACGTTTCAATTCTAGTAGCCAAATTTTAAAATTTCAAAATTTTACACCCCATTCTGCTCGCACGTACGCTTTATTTCTTTGTACATGATGGGGCATCCATGCATGAGTTCCTGAAAATTGTGCATGTGTCATGTGACAATATACCACTAGAGATTTGAGGAAATTTTAAAAATATTAAAAGCCAAAAAGCCAGCATCTTCTCTCTGACGCCCACACTCTAGATTTCAGCGGTAATCTTTGCCAATGCCAGGTTTGCAACCACGTCTAACGCATTTCACATATTTTTATACGACTCTTATATTATTTAAAGTCTTTTATTAAAGTCTTTCAAATTGTTATAAAAATAATATTTAATTAAAAGGTTATATATTATGGATTTAGGTTAATTTCTTCAAAAGCCTCTGCGGAGGAGAGACTTCTGACAATTACGAGGGTGGAAACTTGGATGGTGTGTTCGATATTTTTTTCGTGCGCATTTGTCCTGCTCGATATTTTTTCGTAACAATAAGTGCTTGCCCGATATTTTTTTTGGGATTTACACAACCCCCCCATCAAATATCTAATCATCTAATTAGCCTGCGTAGCAGGCGGTATTCGCAGGCACGAGAGAATGGGAAGCTTGAAATACCGCCTGCCCAAAAACTACACATTCTGAGTTCTCCCCGGCAGCTGGGTGCCGGAGCATTCTGATTGGTAGCCTGCGTAGCAGGCGGTATCTGATTGGTCAGAATGTTGATTTTGAATTTTTGATTGACAGGAGTACAGAATTAGAATAATTAGTGCTAATTTTAGAAGTTACTGTTGCCGTATTTATAATATAAACTATTGTTATTTTCGTAATTGTACCGATATATCGAGTGATGGCATACACTAACCAAAAGATAACGAATGTATTAATTGAGAATTAAGCGTTGAATTCTTTAATCTTTATCTGGAATCGGAAATCGCTTCGTCTTGAAGAATGAACAACGAATATCAATCCAACATTTGTTGCTTGAAGATGTGATACCGTGATAAAAGTGCAGATTTGAAGATACAGGCTCGTAAATGACACTCTAAATCGTGTTTTTGATAGCGATTGGAACAAGCCTATTACAAAGTTACGTCTGAAGGGGCCGAAGTTGTGTTCGGCGAAAGGTATGGCTAGTCTATATTTTTGTTCAGACAATTGCGTAATTTGATAATACACGAACTCGCTTGACTTTCAAAGCTCATAAATCGCTATAATGTTGACATCGACTAAAACTATCGCTATGAATGAGGACATATTGTTACACTGAATCGAACGTGGTATTTTTGTCTTCATAGCATTGAATGAACCGAAGATATGAAACGTCAAAGTCGTATATTTGCACTGGTGTAAATACGTGAGTTTGACAAATAATTAAAATAAATACATTACTGTAAGATGGGCGGGACCATGCGGTGGGCGGAACTCAGAATGTGTAGTTTTTGGGCAGGCGGTATTTCTAGCTTCTACCGCCTGCTACGCAGGCTATGATCTAATGTCCGGCCCTAATGACAACTGCATGTCATTATTCATATTCACATATAGTTTTATACTATGTGGTTTCAAACATGCTTTGGGGAAAGCCAAACAAGTGCAAAACCCAATATTTACTATAATGTGTTTATTCAAAATTTGAATTGTTGATTTTAACTAATATTTGACGGCATTGAAATGAAATAACTTCAGTATAAAACTACGTACGAATTCTCACGCGTGCAAATTCAAATTTTAGCAGCAACAACCACGAATGGACGTTGTAATTAGATGATATAAACAATTATTTTTCATACCTGAGATCAAATAAGCCTTTGGCAGGTTCGGAGTCACTTGTCCAATAAAAAATATAACGAAAATCTGTCAAAAGCAGGCTTTTCTTCGTCGAAATATACTCGAACGAAAAAGTAAAAAATTTGCAAATCACACATTTCACACTGACATTCGATACACGACATACCACAACTCATTGCGCGCGTAGCCCCAACCTCGCAAGCCAGGGTCTTTTACCTGCGCTCGGGCTCCGGCGAAGACCCTGGTTCCCTCTGGTCACGTGAACCCCCAGATTTTAGGGGTAATTCGAATTGCCGCCTCTTTGCTACTTAGGGAGGAGTGGAAGGGGAAATTCACGAGCGAAAACAAAAACATCGATATCTATAACTATGCCTATGGAAATACGGCCATTTACGCTCTGTATTAACCCATATTTTGGGTTTTGTCGGTCTTTGTGTTATCTTTTATGAAATATGTCACCGCCTGGCGCTTGAAAGCTTTTTACACCTACTTGATATAATTTGCATGGCTGGAGGTCTGTTTTACACCTTGAAGTGGAGCCATTATTTATCACCGAAAAGAAAATAATGGTCGAATGCACACTTATACAAAGTCAAAGTACTGTATATTCAGTAGCTCTCAAGCTATGGCACAGCGAAAGGAAACTCCAAAGATTATTTACCCGAAATCCGCTTTGTTTTCGGAATGCAAGTGTCGCCTTTGTGGTAGTATTATCGACAAGTAGTATTGCAACAACCTATTCTTAGAGCTAGCTGAATAGCGAAATAAAAACCTGCTTCGTATCACAGAATTTGTGAATTGTGGAACTCTTGCGTGTGATGACCGATGACGGATTTTCTAATCTTCCTAAATTAACATTAAATTAAAAGAATATATAGGGGCCAATAAAACACCCAAGACAGTGAAGCCAATCGAATGTTGAATATTAAAGTAGAGCGACTGGAGGGATATCGATCTGCAGAAATGATAAACAACTTCGACATAGCTGTAGGAATTAAGTCAAGAAGGCATCCTCTCACAAGCACAAATCTTCGGAGAAAATGTTATTTTATGGAATTGAAACCATTTGCAATCAACAATACGGTATATGATCACTTTCATGAAGGTTTCTTCACAGATATATCATCAGATACATTGGCAACATTATAGACAAATTGTCGCTGCATTTGATGACTAGCTAAACAAACACAAGAGGAACATTCACCAAGTACCAGTAGACATATCAGAAGATGAAGAGGAATTATGACTGTGAATACTGTAACACTTGCACGAATAAGCAACAATGATTTGTATGGCTGTAGCAGAGGCTACCAAGACTACCCTAGCTTGAAAGGATTAATAGATGCACAATTTGCACTTGTCCTATATTTTATAATGCAGCTATTCCAATTAAGGTTAGTGTCACAGACAATAGTTAAATGTGCAATATATTGAACGATAAAACTAAGATTCTATTTTAACACATCAATAGCCTCACGGGAATACAAATTAAATTGGTATTCATAATATATTTGAGGTTTAAATTTATTGAAAACTATCATTATTCCCATTATTCATTTAGCACTCATATTATTGTACATCTGACTATTGTCTGTGACAACTTTAATTGAAATAGCTGTATGGTTACAGTATATTGTATAAATATGAAATATATATTCAATTTAGAATTTTGTTCTGGCACTGCTTTATGTACTGTGCATGAAGTAAATTGAGTTTATATATGGAAATAATGACATATATATGAGAGAGTGCAACTTGTGCCCACTTTAAAAAAAAAACTGAGTTTAACAAAATTCACATTTGATTAATTGTGTATTCATTTGGTACAAAGTCAAGAATATTTCACAGGCCCAAAAATATTTGTCT